AAACTTTCTGAGTTTCATGCACTAAGTCTCATTTATCCAAGATGATTCTCGAAATGTTCAGATTGTTTTTTCCTGGAATTATCTTGGTAAATATGTGATTTGCTCTTCCCCCGGGAGAGAGTATACGTTCAGGTTCTTCCATACTGTTTGAAACGCAAGTACAATAAACAAGTAATCACGACTGAAGCGTAGGATATTCATTCTCTCATTGACCGCTATCCTGACATTAGTCTGTTTTCTTCAGAGAGCTCTTCCAGTCAGATCATTTATCGTTGTATGTTCCCTTCGGATTGTGAATTTATTCTCCAAAAGTATCTGTCTGTTGGTTTGGTAATACATGAACAAACTTTGCAATTCTTGGTGTCACGGTTCTATCTGAACCGTAAAGTGATGTGACTCAATGTGGACTGCAGTAATGTTACCATCAACCAAACAAGCGAAACCAGTACAGGTTTGACTATGACTCCAGCATTGCAGATGGTGGAGAATAGGCTATACATGTGATACATATTTACCCCTGACTCACTACTTACTACACTAATGCCCTAGTCCATTGAAATCGGAAAGAATGACCAATCCGACTGATATGGTGGTTCATGTAACCAACCCGGTTAATTTGAAATGGCACGGACCATTAACTGTCCGGCTGGTAACGTCCGTGATTGATCGACCATTCTTATCGTTCCCGTCCACCCGCCCTTGAGCCTCTCCCTCCAAGCGTGTCACCGCTCGTCTTATCCATCCGATAGTACCGCATTTTATCCCCTTGGGGCATTTGTATGAGTACCTTCTCTCTGATCTACTCACCGATTCACACACACGCACACACAGACCTTCCCCATGTCAGGCGGGGTTTCCGTTGTGGTATGCATGATGGGATCGTTTTGAATATCATTGTTGTTGTTGTTGTTCTGTCGTCGCCGTGGTTCATTCATTGAATCATGATCGCATTTATCATGAAAAAATATCATTTATCACTTACAGCTGCGTGTAGGCATACAATCACATGTAATATCCTTGTCCAAGCGCCAACCTCATTTGGGTTTGAACACACACACATTCAAATGCGTATCTGATCATATGCATACCGCGAACACGTTAAGGTGGTAGATCGTGTCCACCAGTGTTTACCACAAATCCGCTGTCTTGAGCCGATAGCACGGCAAAGAGCAGACCCGAGGGTTATTATTTCTTGTCTATAGTACGTGCTTGTGTGGGGGGGGGCGATCCAACTAGGGGCTGGGAGCTGATCCCAGCTGGTGGTGAACGTGCACACAAACATATTTTGCTCTTAGCCGGTATGAACTTCTTTACTTTTGGGGTTTCACTATACCGCTGCTGTGCATAAATACCCACCTTACCGGCACATGGCTAACAACCGCTACACACGTCGCGTTGCTCCGCTCGATAGATACCGTCTTCCACACATACACACACACACACACTGGATGACAGAGGTAATTAGTTATCGGTACTATGTCAACGTGAACGTGATATTATTCATAGTGTTACAATTAGACGACTGCATAGTTGCGGCATGATTCAGGTAGCATTACACCCACATGTGTGTATGCTTATTTATACCACAGTGATAATTCACTACCAAACAACGCACAGGCTGGGTATCAAGGTGAGAAAAAGGAAATTAATGATTCGTGGTTTTATCAAAATACGTAAAATAATACGTGTGACGTACTCGGTTCACAATGGGATGCATTTGCGATAGCTGGTCGAAAGTGTGAATAAATCAATGACAATTGCGGGCCGAACTGAGATCGATATGATGTATGAGTGGATCAATAATGTGATCAGAATCAGCCGATTGCTATCTTGCTTGTGCGTTAGAGGGGAAAACGCCACACCAATACACATCTAATACTAAAACATCATTGATATAAATTTAAAGTTGCTTTAGAATCTTTTATCGATGTTGAGAAACCGGAAAGGTTCCTGGCGACCCCTCTCTGGTCGTTTGCAAATCAATTGTAATGTAGCATGTTCGTAATTCCTGCAGAAAGTTAACGTGCGTCAGTCAAGCTTTGACTCCTTCAGGTGACTGCTTAATTTTTATCTTTAAATGGGACAACCAATATGCATCTTCGGATGCACTTAATCGCTTGCTTGAATTGGCTTTCTTTACCTGGAAATGGCAACAACAAATCCTTTTTTATCACAAGAGTAGCTTGGGATCAGATTTCACTAACATTTTGACACTGCTCATTGTATCCATCCATTGGTAAAAAGTGTGTTGAAAGTATAAGGGAAAAATTGCAAACAAGAACGCTGCCCTGCGCTACCTATCCGTCATAACTTGCTATTCCTAATCTAAACACTCGCAACAATCTGTTTCACGAAGAATGTCACCCGGAACCTCACAGTGTATTAGCTAGTTAACCACCAGTCGACTGATGTAACACGTATTCTTCATGCAAGTCACATAAGAATGTCCTTGATAGAACTGTGATCTCTGCCCCCTCCCCCCCACCCCACCCCACCCCAACTCACCCAAGAGAGTCCGGTACTGGAGTGAGTGAGGCTAGTCAGTAAGCTTGTACAGACGTGTTGCCTTGTAACGTGTATATAAAAAGTGAAACACAAACAAGACCAACGTGTAATCGGCTGCCTGTTCGCCAGGTCGAAACAGCTGTCCGATGCTTCTAGCTTTTTGGTTCACTCTTCATTTGCTAGTGCACGACGAAATTCCAACTTCTTCTTTGAAGTCCAACACAGATTCGTAATCATACCCGATCAAACAGTACGAATGCGGACCAGTGGTGACATCACGTGTTTAAGCTGTACATAAACTCATCGCCAATTGTTTTGACTTTATGTGATCTCTAAACAGGGATTTCTCAAACACATAGTTGGACAAATGTCGATGCATGCATCTGTCCAATGTAAACGTGTTTATAAACTCTTATGACAGAATGTGATCGGTAAATAATTCTGTCTCAGTAACGAGTTAAATGAGCAACACACCATTACATCGGTTTGCGTGTCAAAACTAATTTCCGGCATTTAAAATGTGCAGACAATCCACTTCATGATTAAGAGGAAGGGAACGGGGGAAGGCAGCCACTTCTCTCCGTCTGTATCCATGCGCAGACGCAAGCATCCTATGTCTCACTCACTCTGTTGCGTGTCCCTGGTACGCGAAACTGACTGGGAACATCACCCCGAAGATAGGTTTGATCCAGTTCGTAGCACTGCCCCCCCCCTTGGAATAGTATTTTACGGGCCCAAAACATGTTGTCCATTATCCTCGATTCCAAGCATTGTTCAACGTATCCAGGTGTTACTACTGATTGGTTGAGACACGGTAAATACAGTAAGAAAAACAACATAACAACGAACGATTGAGTTTTGTCTGTGATTTTCGATTAAAACGAGGAGGGAAATCGTGAAGTTGCTTGATTGTCCTAGCACCATCTACTGTATTTTAAACAGGTGAAATGAGTTCACAAAGTCGTTTTCAATGTTCCAAAAAGAGGTTCAATTTGAAGGTATGGTCATTCTCCATCGAGCCACATGATAGGGCACTTTTATTGGAACGGGGAGAACTTGCAACGAATTATGATCCATTTTTATTGAAAGAGTTCCATGTTTGTTGTAGATTTGAACTGTTAAGCAGCCAGGTCAATGTAGGGCTAATCTGATCACAGGCCCTTACGACAGCCCTGATACAGTAGGAAGCTTTCGATTATATCACCTGTCGCCGAACTCCAAGCTTTAAAACGTGATTCTGGTTCATCTCATTGTGAGATGGTTGGCACACACCACACACCTGAGATGCGGAGCGGAGTGGTAAGGTCCGTTCATGAAATTCTTCAATGAACGGTGAATACGTATCAACTTTTGTTGATTACTGCTATATCTGGGAAACGCTTGTGAAAGGTATGAAGGTATCGCAAAAAGTGCAAATTCGTAATCGTCAAAACATTGATTGTATGGGAATTTTCGAGCTCAGAACTCGAGAAGCTAAACCAAGCTAGACCAACCAACAACAACTATGCTTTGAAGATGAGATATGGATTGATCGTGCAGACCCGAATTTTCTCATTTTATTATAAATTTTATTTCAATCAACGCTAAAAAGTATCTCAAATTTTTATCGTTGGGTTGCTTCTTCCCTTCGCTATCGAACAAGAATCATTCCTAAAATCAAATGGGAAATGAGCTTCGACCGTCGGATGGGGAGCCCTTTTGAGTGAAAAAGTTGACATATTAGAAGTTGTGTCGACAAAGGCAAAAAGAGTACAAAAGAACACGATATAACATGATGAATTTCTTCCAATAAAGAGCAAATGAAACGTGAATTGAAAAGCTGCGAAGCACTGTGTACAGTATTTTCGATCCGTTTAGGTCCCATCAGGAGTGTGAATCTATCGACCCAACTGGATTTGTGTAACAGTGACGGATAGGAAGAATAAGAAAATCCAGCAACGGAACGTAAGAGTTTTAACAAAACTACATAGAGTTTTGTAAAGTTCACGAAGGGTTTATTTCGTATAAATCAATAAACGCCAACGATAGGGTAACGAAAGAGTTGTGAAAAACGATGATCCGACTACATAGACGAGTAAATCTGCTGCGGGAAACAGGGTTGCATCAGCGAGTGTGAAAAATCTGCCAGAGTTGATTTACATATACACACATGATGCAAGTTGTAAGGTTTTGTTGCAGTTACCTAGCACTGTTCTTAAAAAAGCACTTCAATAACAGACCAAGAAAGCTATCATAACGATACTTGATTCATCACTGTGATAACTGTCCAGTCCGGAGGATTGGACCGTAAGAATGTAGTGATCCTGAATTCCGTCTACATTTTTGTTCAAAATAATCCACTTCCCTAGTTGTGAATGGATAAACGAAATCCTTATCCGTCTGTTCACCAAGGTAGTCTAACCTTAGATTAACATACATACATACATACATACATACATACATACATACATACATACATACATACATACACAGAATAAACTACCACATCATGCATAAATTTCTGTATCAGTTCCAGTGTGCGTATTTACCGAACCGCAAGCACACTTGTCTATCACTCTATCTGTTGGCGACTGTCGCTGTAGCCAAACATGATGATTGAGAGACGTATAAGTTAGAGCAGTATAGCAGAATAAAATCCGCTCGTACATTTTCGTAGATCAATAAAACTGAATTCTCCGTTGTGCTATTAGTGGTTTAATCCGAGTGATAAGTCAGTTCTATTACTCATGTGTTCTGTGAGGTCTTCGATGATGCCTTATTTTCGGACTGATACGTACTCGTTGCCATCAGCAAATGAAACCCTTATAATAAAAATATGAACGCCAGAGGTTAAGTGATTGTGGGTACCATTAAAGCAATCATGATTCCGTATGTTGAAAGTCCCCCGACCCAACGACAACCTGCTACCCTTTTGTTTCCAATTCTCCGTTTTTCCGCGCTGCATTCTACTGTCACAGCACACCTCTGAACAGTTGACTGTGTCATTGTAGGGAAAATAAGTAAAAAATGATGAAACGGTTTTTGGTGAATTTGGTTCGGTGATCACGAGCAGAGTCAATGTGCCGCTCACCCCTGACAATCCTGGATAACCCCATACATCTGTTTTATCCTCGTTGGCCAGAGCTCATTAGGGCATGCACACCGAATGTGCTGTCTGATTGATCAAACACTTGGGCTCTAGGGGGTGGCTCTAAGCCGGTGCTGCGCACAATCACTACCTTATAAAACGCATATTCGTCACCGTTTTTTGGAAGTACTATAGACTTTCCCAGACGGTGATTGATACAGCCAACGTACGGCCAGTTGCTGACAGCCAATCCAGAGAGCCTACACAGTTAATGCACTAGACGAACAAACCATCTTGCCCGCGTTTGAATCCCAATGCATTCGGTGGGACGAAGCACACTGCACACTGTGCTTCTATAAAATGACAAATACACTTTCATAATTAATAAGAAAGTTGACAAACAATGTTTCTATTCCCAAGGAGTGGAACATAAGCGGGACTGTTGAACGAGCGTCAGGTTGAAGCTAGCCACCAACAAAGAAGCGCTTCATACTGGTATATAGACTGTTCTTTTACCGCACTGACCACTTCAAATACTCTAGCCGACTTAGTCGTTCGACAAGTAAATTACAAACACAAAATACAAACGCTAATGAAGTTCTAATATGAAGTTTTGTCTGCTTTGAACATGTATCTGGAGTAACTTCAATGATTTGCGAAAAGTTATCGTACTTTTTGATGAGAAACAAAATATGTATGGTACTGGATTTTTCAGAATAATATCGGCCATGATCAAGTAAGACCGGTCCAGTCGCAGGACTCGAATCAATAAACTGTCGGGAGATAGATAGTCTAATAACTCACTTTCTGTTCTTCGGACTTTGATAATAAAATAAATTGTAGTTTTGATGATTTTTCTTTCTTTAAACATTGCGTTTCCATCACCCCTTTTTTAAACAATAATTCACCTGTCAACAGGCAAATTTGGGCAAAAATCGTCACTTGGATATTGTCCCGCACGATGCGAATCGGGTAGCTTTGAAAGCAGTTCGTGGCGTGGATGGATCCGACTACATCAACGCAAGCTACATCGATGGTTATAGAACACGAGCCGCCTATATTGCCACCCAGGCACCGCTTGCCTGTACACTGGAAGATTTTTGGCGAATGATCTGGGAGACCGGGTCGTGTCTGATTGTACGGCTGGAGAGTTTGCCCTCCTTGAACGATCCCAAATCGGCGGACGCTGTAAGTGAACCCACCCACTTACATACACACACACACACACGTCTTTTTTTGGAGGGGGAGGAGCGGCAACGCCATGCATCCGGCATCCATTCTTCATTTTTGTTAAACTCCGTAACTGTTTATTGCTACTGCATTATTTCCAAGTGTGATTATGGATTCTGACACAGTTTCCCTGTGGTTAGTGATTTTCGAAAACTATTACCTCCTATATTATCAGCCCCATTTATTTACGGATTCCGTTATCTACAGAATCCAATTGAACTAAGTCAGTATGTACAATGGAGTCAATGTTATGAAATCCAAATACTGTATTTACGCTTGAAACTCTTAGTAGCTTCCCCTATTCAGCAAAAACTAGGAAGATTAAAGTTTCTTGATTAATATTCAAAATAAAGACTCGATCACGTATAGGAAACATCCATCATGCCGTGTTATCCGTTGCTCAAACCGCAAGGATACTGAATTATTCAGCATGCGCATCCCAAAATTGACGAGAATGAGTTGAAAATGGCCTCGATATATCCCAGAACGATTGCCTAAACTGCTCCCGTCTATCGGAGTACTGCTCCAAAACAGCCCAAAATTCTTCCAGTTTACCAGACACTAAATTGCAGATTCAGTTGAGATATTGAAACAAATAAGCCAATTATCCCTCCCCATATACATACATATATATATATATGTATATCACTCAGTTGTTTTTGCTACGCGGTGGTCATCTTTTCAGGGTTGGTTTGAAACCGGAAAGTTTGAATGCGGCAGTGACATTTCACTCCACACCTGCGTAGGTAATGCACTGCAACCAGATCTCTGTTGGCGGTTCAAAGTTGACCGTAGAACTGAATCTCCATCCCGAAACAGTTCAATACCCCTTAGGTTGATGAGGCCTTTTGAAAATACAACTCTCATTCTTATTGTAATCTACTTGGTGAATTAAATACACCGGAATGCGTGATGTGTAGTGAGAAACTATTCCAATCATCAGCACTCAGATGCATTCATCTTCTTCTCTAATATGTAATGGGAAAATAAAATAAAATGAAAACACAGATCATCGAGATTACTCACGATGCGGTTTTTNAGGGAAGCTTTAGCGCTTGCACAAATGTTCAGAATAGGGTACCGGAAAGCCGATACTGGTCATTGACAAAGTTATTAGACTCCCTGAGTTTGAAAGATTTGAGCTGTCATCAGACATGTACATTTGTGTGATCAAAACTCGCCTAGACAGATTTTGTGACTGAATGTGGATGCCTAACAAACTGGAAAAAGAGGTCGCAGTGGGACCAACGAAATGGTCCACGTAATATTTAGCTGCGGAATCTAAAAGGTATAGAGTCCATTTCAAAATTGACGATTTATGGTGAGCACAGATAAGATCAACGGAATGAAATATACATACAATTTTCAAGTAACCGGGTCTTTTTAATATTTTCATGGGAGCGAGAATAAGCATCATGATCATAAGATGTGCTGAATTCCACTATTTCGTTATAACTTTATCAGCGATGTCCATACGTTCAGATCATGTTTGGTTAAAATAGTGACAGGTTTGGGGAGAGACGAACACACACGGGTAGGTGAAATCTAACGGGTCCAGACTTTTTTTCCAATTCGATCGCCTGTCATATACCGGATTATAAGGAATGTGACAAACCTGGAGATGCATTTCCTGTCTTGATCAGCCAGATCGGTAGCCGTCTACTACAGTTTGCTGAGACAGCTGTCATTCGATGTCACAAACGCGTTCTGTGTAAACACACCGAATTCATGGCCAACCTCGCGCTGCCCTGGTAGGCACTGTTGTCCTCCTCCTCCCTCATTCCCTTGTGATGACTTGGCTCCTTGCCCCTTTGCCAAACCTGGCTCGAATGAGTGACCTTTAGCCTCCATATTGACTGAAGTCTCTTCCCCGTGTGTGTTCGTTTGTCCCCGAACATGTCTGTCATTCTTTTGGACAAAAGTGACTCAAAGTCCAATTCCAAGTTTTTTAGGGGAACTACTTACAAGCTCACGCTTACTTTGTCCCCATAGGATATTTACACAACTGAATCACTTCTCGGCACGAATGGTAAATGTCACATATACTTCCGAGTAGGAGATTCTGGAGTCTTCAACTGATTTATGTTTTTAGTTTTGTAGGAATATGAGGTGTGCCAGGGTTTCATCAAGTCTCCTCTCGAAAGATTCGACAATTGCAGAACAAAGAACATGAGATGGAAGAGTGTTCTAAGTATTGCAAAGAACTGGTGCTGGCATTCTAGTCGACATTTTGGGTTCGGTCTCAAGAAACGATTCCCCCTAAGGTGTACATTGGGGTACAACATGAGCTGCAGCCGACATGGATGGTTTGAGTTCCGCAATATTTGATTTGCCAAAACCAAGTCTCCTCGAATTCGGCGTACTGGGCAGAATATAGTTTCAACGATCATAATCTCCCCTCACAG